ATGCGAGAAAGCTGCAGAATGGAAGTGCGTTTTCCTGCAGAAATCACAGACTCATCTTTGCAGCCACTTTGGAACAATAGAAGAACAATAAGATAAAAAGATGGTTTCATTTAAAATCCCCCTGGAGAATTCAAGGAGAAATAGATTAGGAATAATTTAACACAATCCATACATTATATCATCACTGTTGCTTTCTCATGAGCTATTACCATTTCAAAAATAGAACCCAAATCTGAATTTACTTGACATTCCATATTTGATGTGTACTTTCTTTGTAATAAAATCCTATTACGCTAATTTTAAAACTATGCAATAATGTGCTTTTGATATGAAATACAATGAGTTTCTTTCATAAGATTGAAGTGAAAGCTTAAATGGCTGTTATCTTGAAGGAGAAAGCTAATTTAAAAGAACGCATATTATGCATTAGCGTGGCTTTAATTCCTTTTTAAACATGCTTTTTGGCACCTTGGATAATTATATCACATTTTCTCACTTAAAATAATGTCTGTCTGGATAATATGCTTTCTAAACTTCACCTCTGTTTTCAATGAGGCATGTAGGACAATCAGAAAGTAATCAAATTAAACACTTTTCCCTCATGAACATGCTAATAGACCCATATAGAGAATTGCGAATAGAATGTGATGGTCATGGGTTTATGGTCTTAAAAACCCGAGTAGGAGAAGTTTGGATTTTTACTTGTGACGTAACAACACAGGCCAAATGCAAACTAAGCATTTTTGAGTATTTAGAGAAGAAGAATTTGGATTAATGTGTGAATGAAGTAGAATACAACTCCAGGGAGGTTTTTGATGAGGGGACAGCTGTAGATATGAGCTCATCATCTGTGTTTGCATCATATGTGTTCTTTAAGGCTTTGTCAACTTAACCAGCATGGAATGTGTGAGAAATGGCTTTGCACTATCAACCAGGAAGTGTAAAAAAATATTGAAAAACATGCACTTGAATCCATTCTCCAAACATATCCTGATGTGGTGTGGTTAGAAGAGGGCACCTTAGGGAAATAGGCCCTGTCGATATGATTACTTCCTGCTCAGTGATTTGGTGAGTCAGCTTGAGTTCTTTTGGAGATTATCAGATGTGATTAGTGTTTGCTCTCCAGGTTAAATGTCACACGGTAATGACGTTTTATATTTGTAATTTTTTTGTCTGAAACAGGATGCCTTGAATTTCTAAGTGCTTTTATAATTGAACCATGATTGATGACACAAATAAACTCTTCTCTCAAACATGAAATGACTAGCTTATAGAGAGTCACACATACCTTACTGCGGCATGTATCGAATGTATTTTTCCATTTAGTCCATTTGAAAAATAAACTGGTAATTGCTTTCCTTTGGGTCAGTCCATATACCGCCACTGAGATAATAAATAATCATAATCCTTTGCTTAACCGACCACTGTTTCTGCACAGTTTAGTTTCTTATTTGTCAGTGTTTGTGCTGTGTGGACAGATGGATAGTCTGCATGCTGAGTAGAAATGTAAACAAGAATTGAAGGAGTTTCAGTTTAACTTAATTTGTTGCACCAGAAGAGAACGTTGCTAGAATCTACTAAATCGAAAATGTATCAGTTTGCAGCCACAAGCTCTGTAAGTGAATGAGCCTGTAAATGAATAGCCTATGTTGGTGTTGGTGTCCATTTCAGCTATATATTGGCGGATTTATCAAATGCAGTTAGTGTTTTATTACGGGCAGGCTTCAGGTTAAACAAAACATGCAGACTGTTGATTTGTATTGTTTGTATTTTATTTCTCGAGAGAGTTTGTACAGATATAGACCGGCACGTTAGACCTATTCCTCTTTCCTGTTCCTTAATGTATGCTGATCAAATTTGAATGGACTGCGTATTCCTCCTCTGGAACTTTATGAATGTCAGCAAATTTACTTTTTATATTGAATTGAATATTGAAATGTCAAACACAGTTACTACTACATACAACACTGCAGCCACAAGCATCTGCACAAAATCAAATATGTTTATTGATCTGAAATCTGCCAGAATACAATCTTATAAACTCAAAATTTGTGTTCATATTGTTTATTTCTATTGGGACAGCTACATTAGACTTTTACTATAAATTACAAAATGACAGCCTGGTATGAAGTATAACTATAAACCCTGATTTATTGAAACTAACATCAGCCCTGTCTCTGGCTTTTGGGACTTGAGGAAACAGTGAGCTCCGATGTTTAACCTCCTACCTCTTTTTATGATTAATTTCCGCGTTATTGAAAGACTGCTCCAGCTGGGCTTTCTGACTAATCGCTTCTATTACTACCTTCTCTGTCAACTCTCCCTGGCCTCACTTAACAGTATGTCTCTGTGCATCACACCTGTGGGCTGTGGGGGCGGAGGAGGAGGAGCGAGTGGGCTGCCTCTCGAAAGTCCATATAGAATAACAGGCCAGTCTTTGTGTAACTAGTGCAGATTACAACTCCATTTAAGCCGTGCGTATTGGTGGACGGATTCATTACTGTTACACACAAGAGGGGAGCATAAAGTGGGCATATAAAACATTATTAGACCAGGTGTTGACGCTGACTAAAAGTGACGTTTATGAAGATGAGGTGAGAGTTTGGAAAAGCAGCCCACGTGCAAAGTTAAAGTGAAAATGCTATTACGGTGGCTAGTCTGTGATTGGCTTTGGAGATTGGTTTTACAGTAGGAGCATAAAAAGGAAATTGCAAATAAACAGGCCGTGAGTTTGCAGACAAGCTGGTATTTTGGAATAGCCTTGTGATGTTTAATATGGCAGTGCTTCAGTGGTTGGTGTGTTATAAGTAAATATTAAGAAATGGACAGAGTAACAGTAGAGTTGTGGGTTGAGCTGTGTCAGCCATGTACAGCCATGTTTAAATCACAGTAGTGTTCTTATGTCACTAAGCAAGACATTTTAAAATTACCTATTGTGCTTCATTTGTGCCGTTATTTGTACCTAAATGACTGAGCAATGCTGCCGAACCCTACGTGTATTACAGATGAATAAAAGACTGGTCAAACATCTATGAATCACTACAAGTTCAGTTGAGTAAATGGTGAAGGGAAACACTATAACGTGGTTAAAAGCTCTGAAAAGTTGATTTTGAGTAATAGGTCTACTTAAAAATTGTGTATGTGTGTGTGGCATCTGGTGTTATGTCTCTGGCAAGTTTACAATTGAGTGAGAGGCCAAAATAATAATATGACAGTGCAGAATTGCAATGCATGCTTCTACTTGAATTACAATGGGTACTTTCACACTTATCCTGGTTTGGTCCTATTTTTATCTTGACTTGATTTGGTCCTATTCTCGTCCTGTTTAGTCCTTGTTTATTTGTGTATGCGTGCAAGTCTGAACACAGTTTGCAGCCATTATAAATATGGGGCATGCTATGACCTAAATTACATAATTAACTTTTCAAATCAACATAGAAAATAATTATTAAAACACTGAAATGGAAAAAAGAAAAATTAAATAAAATGGCAATCATACAAAAATGTGTAAAGACATTTTTAATCAAGCTTTTTATACAGCATCCAACTTTGTATTAAGTTGATAGAGGTCTGTGTCTTCTACATTGTCTCACAGAATACACTGGAATACTGGCTCAAAGTAGAACAGCAGGCTGTAATAGCTTCTGGCATTGGTTTACACAGTGAAGCATAGTGGAAATTGTATGTAAACTGTCTATCCCTGCACATAACAGCCGTTGTATAGGAGTTTATAGACTGAGGATGAAATGAAATGCTAAGTCACTGCGTGAGACTGAGGCCTGCACAGATGCAGTCGCCCACTCAATCCACTTATGTGTGATTGAGCATTTGAGCAGTGCAGAGAGCACAGTCTAATACTGGATTAAGATGTGGAGCTGCACTGTGACAGACAATGCAGTGGTTACGTCTGATCACAGCAATAGTAAGTTCCATACATGCAATAAATAACTTTTACTTGTAAAAACATGAAGGCTCAGGTGAAACATTTCTACATCTCTCTGTAGTGTGAAGAAGACACTGTACAAAAAGTGACTACACAGCTGTCTCATCCAATTTGTAGTAAAAAAAAAAAAAAGTGTGGTAAACAAGTTTGTGATAAATTAAAAACGGTATATTTGAGGGGGAAAATCAACATATGCACCACATATCAGGGAAAAATTTATTGTCAGACCTTACTGGCTATTGCTTTTTCTATACTCTAAGCAAACAGTATTGGCCACAAAAAAACTAATCGCTTGATCTCTAATTGATTACGGTAGATACAGTTGTGTTTTAGTCCTGCATTGGGGCTCAGTTCAGAGTCGGTTTATACCTGCTTACTGTATGCCAAGATTTAGTCCAGGTTTAGACTTAATTTCAGTTCTCTTTGGACCCGGTAATGTCCAGATTTAGTCTTGGTTTAGACATAATAATAGACTGGAGGTAGTTTGTGATGTGAAAAACGTAAGAGTTACTGAACCATCAACACGGATGAACGTTGTAATTAAGTCTTTAAATGTGCACTATGTCACTTTTCCGGTGGAGAATTTGACACTTGCTTGTCTCTATGGAGATGTGATCTGTTCGCTAAGAATGTTCCACAGTTTAGCATTAAACTTACCTTGCTCAGTGGAGACAAGTAGATTACAGCACCAGGCCATGTTATAAATTAGGTCTGTGGAGAGACAACCCTGCTCACAGTAAGAATGCGTGTTTTTTAAGGCATTTTTTCAACAATAAAAACACTTGTATTGAGTAAATGCATGATAGATATGTTTAAAGCAATACAGTGGAACACTCCAGGCAAAGCACTAACATGTCCATGGAGACAAGCGTGTGGCACAATGAGTTTATTTGTACTAAAAAAACCTACTAATCTATCTGTATTTGCTTTTCCTGTGTTTTTCAATCAGATTTCGACAATACCACTTGACGCTCTGATCCACTGTCCCAGAACCCTTCGACCTCCGTGAGCCTCTACTGTGACCCAAGAGAGGATGTGTTACTGGGGCTAGAATCCCCCGGAGCTGCCCCCCTCACCACCGCACCGACAGGAGAACGACGCTAGGATTACCACGCTGGCCGCTATGGACTGACGGGTCAAACGATACCACAGTGCGCCCGTCTTGCTTGGAAGTGTAAGTCACAGTTTTCGTAATCCCTCCCACCACATTCCGGGTCAGTTGTGTGTCCCAATCAATGCATGGAAGTCAATGGAAATTTTATCCATTAATGGCTGGTAATTTAATATTTGCACTGTTTACATCCTAACCTGATTTACAAGCATTCTACTACATGGAGGCATTTGACCTTAAATAAGTATAATGCCAGATAATGCTATACTTTAATCTATAGGGTAGATTTATAGAGACACGGGAGCTTAATCCTGTAACTGACATTGTGTGCTGTGGGGATTAATATAACTCCTGTCTCTCTATACAAGCATTCATGGTAGATTTCTCCATCCAAAAAAATATGATATGACATCAAATTAGGTATTTTTCATAATTTTGACAAGTTTAGGCTATATTTATTTCCATATTATTTTGTATTATTTCAAGGCTTTTTCAAATAGTATCTGATTATTTCAACAATATTCACCAATAATCTAGAAAATTACACTTTTCTGATGGTTGTGATGCCTTGATTTTTTAACAGTATGGAAATAAACTTGGTAATCACAACGGAGACAGGTTAATGGTCAGATCTGTGGAGAAGCAAACCTGCATGTGTTCAGAATTCATGTTTTTTAAGGTATATTTTTTAGCTATAAAACATATGTAACTGAACAAATGCAAGGGCTATATGTTTAATACTCTACTGTGGAACATTCCAGGAGACAAGAAAATAGCGATCCCTCCATTTTAGAAGTTACACAGTGCACCTTTAACAGTCTAAATGAGTTGCTATGAGATGAAACCAATAATATACATACAAAGTCTAACTATATAATTGGCAAATATATGCAAAACACTACTTTTTTTGCATACTTATATATATAAACATGCTGATCACTGAACTGTGTATGAACATATAACATTATATATATTTTTGGCTATTACTTTGGATTCATTTTGTGGCATTCCTGGTGTATGGTTGATCTTATTGTCATGTCTAACTGTCCGTCTCTGTGGATCACATTCTGTACTATCTTAATTTATAACTGTGATTTATAAGACAGGAAACCTAATCCTGTTACCGGCTCTGTGTTAGGACGATGTCATCTATTATGGCTCTTATCTCTCTAACCCCATCTCCTCATTCATCTTCTCCTGTACCGCTCTCTCATTCTCTGTCTCTGTCTCTTTCTGTCCCTCATTCTCCTGCCTCTCTCCCTCTCCTTCCTCTCTCTCGGCTCTCTCTCACTCTCTCTCTCTCTCTCTCTCTCTCCCTTTCTCTTCCTCTCTCTGTCTATCTCTCGCTTTCCTGCCTCACTCCCTCTATTTCTCTCTTTCCCCTCTCTCTCTTCTCTTTCTCTCTCTCCCTCTCTCTCTCTCTCTCTCTCTCTCTGTCTGCCTCTCACTCTCCTGCCTCTCTCCCTCTATTTCTCTCCTCACCCTCTCTCTCTTGTCTTTCTCTCTTCCTCCCTCCCTCTGGCTCTCTCTCTCTTTCTCCCCCCCTTCCTCTCTCTGTCTGGCTCTCGCTCTCCTGCCTCTCTCCCTCAATTTCTCTCCTATTTTTTTCTCTGTCTCTCCCTCTCTCCCTCCCTCGCTTTCTCTTTCTCTTCCTCTTTTCTTCTCTCTGTCTGTTTAGTGCGCAGCTGCCTCTCTCTCTATTACCCCCCCTCTCTCTTCTCTTCCTCCCTTCCTCTGTCTCTCTCTCTCTCTCTCTCTGTGTCTTCTCTTCCTCTCTCCTTCCCTCTGTCTCTCTCGCTCACTTTCTTTCTCTCTCTCTGTCGCTCCCTCCCTCTGTCTTTCTCTCACTCTCTCTCTCGGTCTGTCTCTCGCTCTCCTGCCTCTCTCCCTCTATTTCTCTCCTTCCTTTTTCCTCCCTTCTCTTCCTGTCTCCCTCCCTGTGTCTCACTCTTTCTCTTTTCTTCCTCGCTCCCTCCCTTGGTCTTTCTCTCGCTCCCTCTCTCGGTCTGTCTCTTGCTCTCCTGCCTCCCTTCCTCTATTTCCCCCCTTCTCTGTCTCCCTCCCTCTCCCTCTCTCTATTCCACTTTGTCCCTTGATCCTCTCCCTCATTCTCTCTACTTCTCACCCTTTGTCTCCCTCCTCCTCCTCCTCTCTCTGTCTCTCTCTGTCCTCTTTATCCCTCTCTCCTCTCTTAACTGACATGTTGTGGTGCTTCCGTTCCATCTTTCTCTTTGACACTCGTCTACAAAAGCGCAGTGTCTCTCTGTTATTCTGTTTGGGCTCTGTGCTTTGTTCCCCGTGCGTTTGGAAACCAGACAGAGATCTTTTATCTTTTTGGAGAACAACACATGTCGTTTGCTGAGAGCCACTGTGGAGCTGTTAACAAATCTTTTCTAGGACAAATTCCAAAACTGAAACTGGATCATTTAAAGGGAAGGTAGAACTCAAGACCTTGGACCTGTCTGCTATTGAATATCTCATTTTAGATTTTTAGACAAAATAATAATAAAATGAAAGCTTTTTTTTTTTTTCATTTTAGATGTTTTTATTAGACTGAAATATTGAGAAAAGTATCTTCCCCTAACTGTGACTAACGAGGAAACATAGAATATAAGACAAGCAAAAGTTACTTACTAACTCACTAAAAAAGAGGACAGAGAGAGAAACAGAAAGAGAGAGAGCGAGGGAGGGACAGAAAAGAGAGACAGGGAGGAAAGAAATAGAGGGAGAGAGGCAAGAGAGCGAGATTATAAAATGGCATATTTTCCAGTAAAGTAGTTGGCGTTTCTGGTTTCAGCTTTTGAATGATTTAGTAGAAAGAATGGTACTTTTGTTCTATGTCGTATTGAAAAAAGAGTGATGAAGTTTGGCCTTATCTCAAGAGCCACACACAGAAACAAGCAAACACAACATTTTGTTAATAAATCCTGACAATTGCTTAATTAAGTTGGAGAATTTCAGATAATTCTTAATTCTTTCTTGCGGAAATGTTACATCAGCAAACCATCTTCATTATTGTCCTCTGCACAATGTCACTGACGGACCCGTACTGAATAATTTATGAATGGCACATTTTTCATCAGGCCTTATCACAATTACAGACAACTGCTGCTCCGTGAAGCTTTCATTTCATAATATCGACTACAAAACCCACTCTTAATTATTTGCATAAAGAGGCTATTCACTGTGCATCACTACTTTCTGTATCACATCAGCCTAGTACACCAGCAGATAACTAATATATGTACATGCTGGGGCATCAGGGGGAAGGCAAAATGTTCTATTCAAGTAGGTCTGTTACTATGTTTAATATTAATTCAGGGTTCTTGGTTTGCTCTGATAACAGTTTTTTATGGCTGCACAAAAAAGTGTAGTCTGTAAATTAGCCCATAAGTATTACACTAGACATGATTGACATTAGTGTTGTAGAAGTTTTCAACTTGTCCAAGAAAGGGTGGAAGTAAAACGCTGGAGACCAACTGGATGTTTATTTACCATCAATATTATGGACCTGGGGGGACTCAAAAGTGAACATAGTATGATCTTTGAGTGTTCAAGCCCCTTTGACTCTGCTTCCAAAGGAGGTTTATAAAGCAAGTGTGGTGAGACAATGAAGGCCAGTAGACATGCCACAATTTTGATAATGGTATGCCAAAGGAAGATCATGGTGTAAACAAAGCTATAGTCAATGTTAAACTGAGATGTACGTGGAAGATAAATTATTTAAATTCTTTTACAATTAGTAGCATTCCACGAGATTTCCCTCATCATCAAAAAGTAAAAATAGCTTCAACTGTAAATTACTGAACATAAACATAACTTTTAATGAGTCTAACAACAAAATAACCCAAAACTCTGTTCCAACCAATCCTAAAGGGATGCATTGTTGGCAATAGTATGACACAGTAATATCTAAGTGAAATATACAGAAGCCTTGTTTGTTCACAATTGAGAAGGTGGGTTTTCATTTGTGGATGGTTTAGTGTTGTCACAATACTACATTTCAACATTTCAAACTTGATTTCAGTACTAAGGAAGAGATTATTTGATTCTGATGCCATGGTGATAATATAAAACACTCTTTAGACAACAGAGTGTGATTTTCAGCATAAATCATAGTACTTTCTTTTATATTACCATGTGGCCTTATATTTGTGTAATCCCTCAGTTGTCCAGGGAGGTTCCGTAGTGGTCCATGGGCATATACTAGTCTATGTGGTCTTAAACTTGTTCTCATACAGCTCAATATCATTCTAAAGATTAATTTCTGTCTCATGAATGTGACTTTTTTAATATCAGTATTTAAATATATCTGTATATTTTTGACTGCACATTAAGATTTTGTGTATCATGATAATGTAGTATAGACAAAAAAGAACAAAATAACTTTATCCCATCTTATTTGCAAAGACCGGTGTCCATGTTAACTCCAAAGATCCCTGGAAGTCAAATCCACCTGTACTTTCTAACTCCCACTGAACTTGCACTCCTGTGTACACTTTGTAATATTGCAGTAGGGTTGCATGTAGTTACACCATTTTGGCTGTGGTGGAGTTACCTTTTAGTCAAGTCAAACGCTCCACTGTACAAAGTCAGCAGAAGTACAAAACTAACATACTTGTGTGATTTGCATTCGGATGAGCCCATTTCACTGGGAGCTCTGCAACCTTTATGATATAATGAACGCCGTATAGATAACCATCTGCTCCGTGTGCTGGGGTTAGGCTTGGATTTATGCACGGATGTTTACCGTGACCTTTGCTTCCTGGAAATGTCAACACAGATCAGCTATTAGAGGTGTAATGTCTTTTTTATTGTTAAAACAAAACTAGCGACAACTCACATTAATCAGTGCTAATGAAGATATATACAGCTTTTTCAATACAGCTAATAGTACCCATTCATCACTGACCTATTTCATCTGGTACATAAGGGTGCAGGCGGAGTCAATATGTTACAAAGCACTTATAATTTCATCATTTTGAACCACAAATGTTAGTGTTTTTTTTAATAGGTGTCACTCCGCAACTTAAATCCTAATTAATATTGAAAAATGGGCACAT